CTGGACTTCTGGCAGTTCTCTGCTGATATGCTGTTTCAGTTGTTTCTGGATAATCTTCATGGACTGCTAGGAGAACAAATAAGTTTGTCCTGGAGAAAGTGAAGCCAAGCTGATCCTTGGAGTCAAGGATTCTGAAGCTTCGTCTGACATATTTGGGGCATGTTGCAAGTAGGGACCAGTCCTTGGAGAGGGACATCATGTTTGAGAGAGTGGAAGGACAGTGCAGGAGAGGAAAATCCTGGATGAGATGGATCGATTCAGTGATGGGGTAGTGGGAATAAGTGGTTGGAGACAGTGAGGTTGGCACAGGATAGGGCAGGGTTTAGGGTTCTTGTACATAAGGTCACCATGAGTTGCAAATGACTCAGCAGCACATAATGAAAACAACAACAAGAAGAAAGTACAATTAGCTATAGAAGTCTCTCCTATCTAACAGACCCTGAGAGGCATTTCTTTCCTGACCCACAATTCATCTTGTTGTTCTGAGTCATTGAGTTGCGTGTGACTCTTAGTAAATCTATGTGCTCTGAACTCTGCTCTCTCCTGAACCAGTCTCACTGTCTCCCACATCTGCCCACATTACCCAACTTCTTGTGTCAGTCCATCTTATCCGGGGTCTTCCTCTCCTGTGCTGTCCCTCCACCCTTCCAAGCACAATGTCCTTCTCTAAGGACTGGTCCTTTATGGCCACCTGCCCAAAGTATGTGAGATTTGCTTCCAAATCCCTGTTTCCAAGGAGCAATCGGTTTTCACTCTTTTCAGGATAAATCAGTTTGTTCTCTTGGCAGCTCATGGCATGTTCAAAACTCCTCCACCACCACAATTCAAAGGTATCAATTCTTTTGTTATTTTTTTAAAAATTTTATTTAAATAGCATTCAATTTATTACAAATATTTAGTATTGGCTTCCCTTACTTCCCCCCTTTTGTTTTTATCATAATTATGTTATCATCTAGATGAGCATCCTTTATACACTAACAAACAAACAAAACAAATTAAACATAATAAACTCA